GCAATCCCCATTAAAATACCAATGGAATATTTCACAGACCTAGAACAAACTCTCCATTGAATCTGATTTTAAAAAAAGACCCTGAATAGCCACAGCAATCCTGAGAAAGAAGAACTAAGTTGGAGGGATCACAATACCAGATATCAAGCTATATTACAAAGCCACTGTTCTCAAAACTGCCTGGTACTGGCACAAGAACAGACATATGGACCAATGGAACAGAACAAGAGAACCTAGAAATTGACCGAAGCCATTATGTTCAATTAATATTTGACAAAGGAGGCAAGAGCATACAATGGAGTCAAGACAGTCTCTTCAATAAATGATGCTGGGGAAATTGATCAGATACATGCAAAAAAAAAAATGAAACTAGATCACCAACTTACACCATACACAAAAATAAACTCAAAATGGTTAGAGGACTTAAATGTAAGACACAAGAAACCATAAAAATCTTAGAAGACTCCATAGGCAGCAAAATATCAAACATACACTGAGTGGCCAGATTATTATGACCACCTGACGTTTGTAGGCAAATTAGCTGTACACTGCATCGTATGGGATATGGAAGCTGAAGGCCTGTTCAAACACCTTTGCTGTCTGCAGTTACCAAGATAAAATGTCTCCAATTTGCACAGGAACACAAGGATTGGACAGTCGAGCATTGGAAAAGTCATGTGGTCCGATGAATCACGTTTCCAGTTGCATCATGCAGATGGCAGACTGAGAATTTGGCGGAAACAGCATGAAAGCATGCACCCCACATGCATGAGTACAACCCTTCAAGCTGGTGGGGGCAGTGTTATGGTTTGGGGCATGTTTTCCTGGCATGATTTGGGCCCTTTAATTCTATAAATTCAACGCACTTCCCATTAAAATACCAACGGCATACTTCACAGATCTAGAACGAACTCTCCAAAAATTCATCTGGAATAAAAAAAGACCCCGAATAGCTGCAGCAATCCTGAGAAAGAAGAAAATAGGTGGGATCTCAATACCAGATATCAAGATGTATTACAAAGCCACTGTTCTCAAAACTGCCTGGTACTGGCACAAGAACAGGCATATAGATCAATGGAATAGAATAGAGAACCCAGAAATCGGCCCGAACCAATATGCTCAATTAATATTTGACAAAGGAGGAAAGAACATTCAATGGAGCCAAGATAGTCTCTTCAATAAGTGGTGTTGGGAAAATTGGACAGATATATGCAAGAAAATGAAACTAGACCACCAACTTACACCATACACAAGAATAAACTCAAAATGGATAAAGGACTTAAATGTACGACAGGAAACCATAAAAATTCTAGAAGAATCCAAAGGCAACAAAATCTCAGACATATGCCAAAGCAATTTCTTCACTGATACAGCTCCTAGGGCAGTTGAAACTAAAGAGAAAATGAACAAATGGGACTACATCAAAATAAAAAGTTTCTGCACAGCAAAAGAAACCATCAACAAAACAACAAGAAAGCCCACTACATGGGAGAACATATTTGCCAACATTATATCTGATAAGGGCCTAATCTCCAAAATTTATAGGGAACTCATACAACTTAACAAAAGGAAGATAAACAATCCAATCAAAAAATGGGCAAAGGACCTAAATAGACACCTTTCAAAAGAGGACATTCAGAAAGCCAAGAGACATATGAAAACATGCTCAAAGTCACTAATCATCTGAGAGATGCAAATCAAAACAACAATGAGGTACCATCTCACACCTGTCAGAATGGCTATCATCAACAAATCAACAAACGACAAGTGCTGGAGAGGATTCGGAGAAAAAAGAACCCTCCTTCACTTCTGGTGGGAATGCAGACTGGTGCAGCCATTGTGGAAAACAGCATGGCGTTTCCTCAAAAAATTAAAAATGGAACTGCCATTTGACCCAGTAATCCCACTTCTGGGAATATATCCCAAGAAACCAGAAACACCAATCAGAAAGGATATATGCACCCCTATGTTCATAGCAGTACAATTTACAATAGCTAAGATTTGGAAACAACCTAAGTGCCCATTAGCAGATGAGTGGATTAAAAAATGGTGGTACATCTACACAATGGAATACTATGCTGCTGTAAAAAGGAAGGAACTCCTACCATTTGCAACAGCATGGATGGACCTGGAGAGCAGGTCCATGCTAAGTGAAATGAGCCAGTCGGAGAAAGATAAATATCATATGATCTCACTCATATATGGGATATAATGAACAACATAAACGGATGAACAAAAGTAAATCCAGAGACCAAGAAACACTGAACAGACCATCCAACCTCAGAGAGCAGGCAGCGGAGGGGTGGTGGTGGTAAGAGATCAACCAAAGGACTTGTATGCATGCATATTAGCATAACCAATGAACACGGACACTGGGGTGGTGGGGGCTTGTCCTGGGCGGTGGGGCGGAATGGGGGGTATCAATCGAGAAAAAGGAGACATATGTAATACTTCAAACAAACAAACAAAAGAATGAGGAGTGATAGGAGCAGATTTCTTTTTATTCCTCTTGCTTGGCATCCATAGGCAAAGCAAAACTTTTGGGTTCATCCAAATATAGCATGCATTTCAAATTTGTTCCATGTAATGTTTTTTGACTAGAAACTATTATATAAAATAAATTTATGTGTGAGCCTCTGCCAGAAACAGTAATGTTGAAATATAACTGCATAGTATGCTTGTTTAGTGGATTTTAGTGAGGCAAAGTCATTATGCTGGAAAAAAAGGAGCCATTGTCTAAAAAGTGGTATAAGTTTTCAAGAACTGTTATGGTAAAAAAAAATCTTTAAGGAAAAAAGTGATATGAAAATTTCGACTGTATGAAAAACCAATAAAAGCTGAACTGGGGAGGTGGTAGTGAGCTGTGACCCTTTCTTCCTCTCCTCTCAGGTGCAATGCCAGGAAATCATGTCCAAAGCTTTGGCAACTTATCTTCTTATCTTTATGTGCTGTGATTTCTTTTCCCAATTCCCATCATCCGGTGGGATGCTGATTCTTGAATGTGCGGTGCAATTGTTTATGTCCCTCCCTTTCACTAAATACCTTCACTATCTCCTCAAAGTTTAAGAAAAGCATAGTCATTTTTCAATTCATGGCATATATGTCACCATCCCTAAGCTCCACCTAAAGCAAAAATAAATACTTAGTCATGTATATTCTTGTAGCATATAATTATACTTCCATTCCAGTACTTATCACATTTCATTATAATTAATTGTTTATTTGACTAATTCTTTTGTAAGTCCTTCAGAGAGAAAAAAAATCTGTCTTACTCGTTTTTGTATGCCCGGAATCTAGCACAGTGTCTTGTTCATCATAAGGATGATCAATAAATGTGTTGAATCCTTGGTAAATAGCAGAAAAGGGGAAGTGTTTTAAGAAATATTTGGTGGTTATAATGGAGAATGAATAAAATTGAAGGTGCAGGTGATGCTTATGTTCTTGTTTTGAGAATGCTCTCTACTCAAATATGTAACAATTACAATTAAATATAAAAATAAATGTAAAGGATAGTTCAGAAAAGACAACAAAAATAAAACAAAGCAAAACTGGATGAGTTAAGTGGAGCTGAAGACACACACCTCCTCGGCTTTGGGTGTTTATCAAGTATAGACGACCAGCTTAGACCACGCATAATATCTATAATAATAGAGGTGTAATATGCTAATTAGGCAGGATGTCCTTCCAGATGACCTTCTGGACAAAGCCAGGGCTGCGAGGGAAGCCGGTGCCAGCAGTCAGGGGAAGGAAGGCCTACTCTTGCACGAATTTCGTGCATCGGCCTCTAGTGTGACTGTAAGTTCTGTGCATGAGCAGTGAGACCGGAGCCTAAAACACTCATTTGGTGCTTGTGGGAATATTCGCTAGTACAATGACTCTAACAATAGCAAAATGCTTGCACCTTGTAATCCAACTATTTCATTTACCCTAGAAAACCTTGTACACCTGCACAGAGATTGTTCCTAATGCAGCTAAGTGTACGTGCTCTGGATCAAGACTTTGGGGCTCAAACCCGGGCTTCAGTTATATCACCTTCAGTTCTAGGACCATGGGCAATTATTTAATGTCTCTGTGCTTGGATCTCCTTATCTTGAAAATTAAAATAATAATGATACCCATCTCTTGTGGATTGTTGTGAGGATAAACATGTTAAAAAATGTATGTGATAATGCATGTAAGAACTCAAATTTTAGCCATAATCATTATTAGGGCAGCTTTGGTTCTGTTTTTTTGTTTGTTTGTTTGTTTTTAAAAAGATAGCAGGCCCCAAATCGAGTCACTTATGGTTAGCCTTATGTCACCAAACGGAGACTTCCAGTTTCAGCTCTTAAACCACCCAGGAATCACCGGATCAGCACTAGTTACTCATCCTGGCAGCCGGTACCCCCGCCATCCCCGAAAGCAGTGGTTCTCAACCTGTGGGTCGCGACCCCTTTGGGGGTCGAATGACCCTTTCACAGGGGTCGCCTAAGACCATCGGAAAACACATTTATAATTACATATTGTTTTTGTGATTAATCACTATGCTTTAATTATGTTCAATTTGTAACAATGAAAATACATCCTGCATATCAGATATTTACATTACGATTCATAACAGTAGCAAAATTACAGTTATGAAGTAGCAACGAAAATAATTTTATGGTTGGGGGTCACCACAACATGAGGAACTGTATTAAAGGGTCGCGGCATTAGGAAGGTTGAGAACCACTGCCCTAAAGGTAAGCAACTCGCAATTAGCAACCTGCCTTTTTGCCTCATGCCACGTCCTCGTTCTGCTCCCTTTGGCCTACAAAAGTATCTCATTTTGTGTATCTCCTCAAAGCCCTTCACTATTTGCTAAATTGGGTGCTGCCCAGTTAAAATTGATTTTTGCTCAAATAAAACTTTACAGATTTTAATGTATCTTAGTTTATCTTTTAAAAGTTCTGGCCTCAGAAGAGGGGGCTCAAAAGGGCCTCCAATGGCTCCCGGCACTGCGGGCAACCAGACCTAAGTACCTGCGGAGCCCCCGGAGCTGCTGCTTTCTGCGGCCTCTGCGGGTTGCGGGTGAGTCGCTCTCAGACCCCAGCTCCAAGGCGCCTCCGTAGGAGCTTTAGGCCCCGAGCACGTCCGTGTCGTTCTCGGAAACCAGCCGGAGCTGAACTGGCTCCTACTTGCAAACAGAGCTGGGTCCGTGGCCAAACTGGGTCCGACTTGGAAACAGAACTGGGTTCGGGGAAGGACTGGGTCCCTCGCCAAACTGGTTCCGACTTGGATACTAGACTGGGTTCTGGGTCCGTGGCCAAAGTGGGTCCGACTTGGGAACAGAACTGGGTTCTGGGAAGGACTGGGTCTGACATGGACACTGGGCTGGGTCCGTGGCCAAACTGGGTCCGACTTGGAAACCGAACTAGGTCTGAGGACAGACTGGTTTGCCTTAAGCTGGTCTTAGTCCCGTGTGAGGCCTCAGGTAAATAAAACTTTGTTTTAAGGCTGAAAAGTAGGTGAGCCTTACCAAAGGTAGTCTTGAACCGTAGTGGCCGCGGTCGAGAACTTTTAACTTAGATAAGCTTGTCCATGGACAAGGGGCCCTGGTAAGAGAAAGCGGGCCTAGGCCAGGTACTCGCTCTAAAGCAGTGGTTCTCAACCTTCTGGCCCTTTAAATACAGTTCCTCATGTTGTGACCCAACCATAAAATTATTTTCGTTGCTACTTCATAAATGTAATGTTGCTACTGTTATGAATCGTAATGTAAATATCTGATATGCAGGATGGTCTTAGACGACCCCTGTGAAAGGGTCGTTCCACCTCCAAAGGGGTCGCGACCCACAGGTTGAGAACCGCTGCAAAGGCTGAGGGGAAATCGTGTTTTCTCCTCTCCAGTGTCTGAGACCCGCCGGGAAGCCCCGCTCACTCTGGAGCCCGAGGACGGACACGGGGACACTGAGGACACCTGCAAAGGTAAGAATGACCCAAGTCAGTGCACCTGCAGCCTGGGAGGGAGGGAAAGTAACCTCACTATGCTCCTTCCTTTCAAATTGGCAGACAAACAAACAAAAACATTTCTAAGAATTAGAACCTTGAATTGTGACTGGTGAATTTGCTTTCAGGAACTCTTTGTTGTTGATCTTGCCACTCCCAGGGACAGTTCTTGCTTATTTTTATCACTTTGTGTCCTGAGTACTTGGCTCACACCGGTTCTTGAGTGTGCAGGCAGCGCAGTCATTAGGTTGAAGGCTCCCAAATGATGGCTGGACAGAAAAAAAAGTGTGTATTTCACCCTTTTGCTGCTAGATACATGCTTGACAAATGTGGGTTGTACTCCATTGGCAGCAAGGGTCCTACCAGCTGCTGCCCGCTCTCAGGGGAGTTATGTAAACTGATGTCTTCGGAATTGTGCTGGCTCTTATAGATCTTTTGCCTTCTATATAAACTTTAGAATCAGTTTGTCAATATCCACAAAATACCTTGTAGGCATTTTGAGTGTTGTATAATCCAGTATATAGATCAAATTGGGAAAATGGACATCTTAACAATACTGAGCCTTCTAATCTATAAACACATAATTGTTCATTTACTTAGTTCCTCTTTGACTCCTTCTATCAGTGTTTTGTAGGTTTGTACATATAGATTTTTTGCATATCTTCTTAGAGTTATACCTAAAATTTTCTTTCCCCTTCCTTCCTTCCTTCCTTCCTTCCTTCCTTGATACAAATGAAATGGTATTATGGATTTCATTTCAAATTGCAATTGTTCATTATTAGTATACTAGAGGCCCGGTGCACCAATTTGTGCATGGATGGGGTCCCTCTGGGCGGCCTGCAGGGATCGGGCTGAAACCCGCAGTCCAATGCCACCTGCAGCTCCTACCTGCTGCTCCTGCTCATCCTGGCCCCACTGTACCTCCCATGGGCTCATGCCCCATCAGTCCTGATCTGGGAGAGGCTCGCACTGCTACAGCAGCACTCGCCAGCCATGAGCCCTGCGTCTGGCGCCCTCCCAAGGGGAGTGGCCTGAAGGATCGGGCTGAAACTGGCTCTCTGACATCCCCTGAGGGGTCCTGGATTGCGAGAGGGCGCAGGGCAGGCTGAGGGACCCACCGGTGCACAATTGGGCCAGGGAGGGACCATGGGAGGGCTCCAGGGCATGTCTGGCCATCTTGATTGGCCAGACCACAGCAGCAAGCTAACCTATCAGTCAGAGCATCTGCCCCCTGGTGGTCAGTGCATGTCATAGCGAGCAGTTGAGCAGTCTTAGCATATCATTAGCATGTTATGCTTTGATTGGTTGTTCGGTTGTTCTGCTGTTTGGTCTATTTGCATATTACCCTTTTATTATATAGGATAGGAAAGCAGTTAACTTTTCTCTACTGACCTTTAATCCTAGAAACTTGCTATCATTTCAAGTTTTAGGATTTTTTTTTGCTGATTCTATTGGATTTTCTAGACAATTGAATCATTTTTTAGCAGTTTTTTTCTTCCAAGTATGTCTTTTTGCTGATTCATTTTAATTTTCTTGACTTATTTCAGTACAGTGTTGAATAGGAGTGGTGAGAGGGGCATCTTGCTTTTTTTCCTACTAACAGGAGAAAAAGCATCAAATTTCTCATCATTTAATCATGATATTAGCTGTAGATTTTTTTTAGATGCTCCTTATCAAGTTGACATAGTTCCCCCTTACTCCTAGTTTGCTGAGAGTTTTTATGATTAACTAGAGGCCTGGTGCACGAAGTTCATGCACAGGGGTAAGGGGGTCCCTCAGCCCGGCCTGCAATGACGCAAGTGTTCCGCACCTGGCCTGGCAGAGGCCCTCTGCGGCCGGGCGCAGAACGCTTGCCTTGTCGCTGGGGCGATGACACAAGCATTCCCTCCCCACCCCAGCCGCTCTGTGCCCGCTGCTCAGAGGCCCTCTGCAGCCGGGGTGAAATGCTTTCCTCGTCGCCATGGCAATGAAGGAAGCATTCCGCCAGGCCTCTCACGCTGCCCGCTCTCAGTGGCTGGCCCCCTGGGACTGGGGGACTCCAGTGGTGCTGAGAGGACTGGACGCCGCCATCATGTGGCTATGGGTGCCGCCATCTTTTGTGACGGAGTGATGGTTAATTTGCATATTACCATTTTATTAGATAGGATGAGTGTTGGATTTTGTCAAATGCATTTTCTGAATTAATTAATATAATCATATGATATTCTTCTTTAGCCTGTTGATGTAATGGGTTATATTAATTGATTTTTTAAAATTGAAACATACCTGGAATAAATCTCACTTGGTTATAGTGTATAATTCTTTTTATACATAGTTTGATTCAGTTTGCTAATATTTTGTTGAACTTTTATTTGCATCAATGTTCATGAGAGATATTAGTCTGTAATTTTTTTTCTTGTAATGTTTTTGTTTGGTTTTGGTGTTAGGGTAATGCTGACCTCATAAAATGAGTTTAGAAATGTTCCTTCTGCTTCTACTTTCTTAAGAGATTGTGAAAAATTAGTACCATTTATTCATTATATACTTGTTACAATTCACCAATGAACCCATGTGGACCTGGTTCTTTCTGTTTTAGGAGGTTATTATTTATTGATTAAATTTCTTTAATAGATACAGGCCTATTCAGATTATCTATTTCTCCATGTGTGAGTTCTGATAGTGTCTTTCAATGAATTGGTACCTTTTTCTAAGTTGTCAAATTTGCGGCACAGAATTATTCATAATACACTCTTATCATTCTTTTATTGTCCATAGAATCAAAAGAGATGACCCCTAGCATCTATGATATTAATTTGTGTCTTCTTTCTTCCTCTCAGTTAGCCAGGTAGAGGTCTATCAATTTTTATTGATCTTATCTAATTACCAGCTTTTCATTTCATTGATTTTTCTTTATTGATTTCTTGTTTTTAATTTTACTTATTTCTGCTCTAATTTTTATTGTCTTTTCTTCTGCTTGCTTTATGCTTAAATTGTCCTTCTTTCTCTAGTTTCTAAGGTAGAAGCATTAATTATTGACTTTATATCTTCTTTCTTCTACCTATGAGCTGATTTGACTATATCCTACAAATTTTGATAAGTTGTATTTTCTTCTTTATTTAGTTCAAAATCTTTTTAAATTTCCCTTGAGATTTTTTTTTAACTCGTGTTATTTAGAAACATGTTATGGCTCAGAAGATTGTCTGTATTGGTAAATGTATCATGTATGTTTGAGAAAAGTGTGTATTAAATTGTTGTTGGATGACATGTTCTATAAATGTCAATTAGATCCGGTCGATTGATGGTTTTATTCAGTTCAACTATATTCTGAACTGATTTTCTAGTTGCTTAAGGGGTGTTGAAATCTCCAATTATCATGTGGAGATATCATCTGTATCTCCACAAACGTCCTGTTTCAGTGCTCTGGAATTCTGCTAATGTGATGGTAAGATGTGGGGAATGGAAGTCTTCTATAAACGTATCATTAAACTAGAGGCCCGGTGCACAAAAATTTGTGCACTTAGGGGGGTCCTTCAGCCCGGCCTGCGCCCTCTCGCAGTCTGGGACCCCCTTGGGGGATGCCCACCTGCCAGCTTAAGCCCGCTCCCTGCGGGGATCGGGCCTAAGCTGGCAGTCAGACATGCCTCTGGCAGCCCAGGAGCCCTCGGGGGAAGTCCGACGGATGGCTTAGGCCCGCTCCCCACCTAAGCCGCAGTCAGACATCCTTAGCGCTGCCGAGGAGACGGGAGAAGCTCCCATCACCGCTGCTGCTTGCATCCGTTAGCCCGGCTTGTGGCTGAGCGGAGCTCCCCCTGTGGGAGCGCACTGACCACCAGAGGGCAGCTCCTTCATTGAGCATCTGTTCCCTAGTGGTCAGTGCAAATCATAGCAACTGGTAGTTCCGCAGTTAGGGTCAATCTGCATATTACCCTTTTATTATATAGGATGTCATTCTTTGAATAGGCCTAAATCCTTGCTCTGTGATGTTCAGAATTGTTTCTTAGCTTTTTTTTTTTTCCCTCCTGAGGTAAGACAGGAGGACTAGCGGAAGTGGGGTTAGCTAATTGCCCTTCCCCATGTCAGATAAGAATCTGATAGAATTCTTTCCCAGGGACAGTAATCCTTTGCTACAGAGAATATTCTGGGCATATTTCAAAATGACTGCTTTTCTTCTCCTACTACAGGAAACTTGAGAGGACTTTCCTTGGTTCTTCACTTTGACAACATAGTAGAGGTAAAAACTACAAAGTATGGGGGCCCCCTAAGACTGAGCCATCATGAGTTTCTCTCTCTCGAGCTGTTTCATATTCAGCCTCCACCAATTCATCAGAATGTTCTCTGTAAATTT